GGGACGGGGAAGAGCAGAGAGATGAGGGGGTGCAGGACTGGTCACGACGTGGTGGTGGGGGGGGATGACTGTTTGCTGCAGCCGTGCATGCACCAAATGAGGGGGCGAGGCATCGCTTGCAGGGGACCAAAAACCGCCGGGCACGCGGGCGAGCTTGAACCCGCCGTTCCCCGCCCGCCCGCGGCGTGCCCCTCAGCGCCGCACCTGGCCGCCGCTGTTGTCCGAGTCCGACCCGCTCGCGTCGCCGCCGCTGCCGCCGCCGGCGCCGCCGCCGCCGCCGCCGCCGCCGCGGGGGCGCCCGCTGATGCCGATGCGCTTGGTGATGCGCGCGGCGACCTTCAGGCGCTGCTCCCGCAGGCGGTTGCTGAGCTGGCGGATGTTGTGCTGCGCCCTGATGCGCTGCTCCTTCACCAGGCTGATCCCCAGGTCCTTGCGGCTGGCGGGAATTTGAAGAGAGGGGAGGGGGTGGGAGGACCAGGACGCAGTCAAGAGGAGGAGGGCGTTGCGTCAGGACGCTGCAGCGCTCAGGACCATATCGGCTGCCCTAAGACGCCACCGCCCGGCCCGAACCGTGATCGGTGGACCCGAGCCCGACGCCACCCCTGCATGCCCCGATCTTGGCTAATGAAGGGCAGCAATCAGTGCAAGCCGACTCGCAAGCAGACACACGCGTGCGCTGGCAGCCACACACGCGCGCACGCGCGCGCGCGTGCGCACCTGTACCCCCTGCTGAGGTTCCTGAGCACGTACTCGTTGTAGTCCCTGAGGATGCGCAGGATGAGGTCGCTGGTGCTCACGCCGTCGGTGCGCTGCGTCGCCTTGAACTTGCCCATGGCCTTGACCTGCGGGACAGACAATACAGGAGTGTAAATGCCGACGCGAGCGTTTGCGTGCGTGCGCGTGTGCGTGGGTGTGTGTTTGTGTGTGCATATGCGCGTGCGTGCGTGTGTGCGTGCATGCATGCATGTGCATGCGCGCATGCATGCATGCGTGAGTGAGTGTGTGTGTGTGTGTGTGTGTGTGTGTGTGTGTGTGTGTGTGTGTGTGTGTGTGTGCACGTGCGCGCGCACGCGCATGCGAGCGTGTGCGTATGTGTGTGAGCGCGCAAACGCGCACACTCGTGCGTGCTGCACCCTCACCGGCCCGTACACGTCGTCGGCCTGGCCGCTGGCGTCCGCGTAGGGCAGGTCGTCGTGCGCCACGTAGTCAATGTTGTGGGCGTCCAGAAACTCCTTGGTGATCACCCAGGGGGCATCGGGGATAACCTCATCCACCCACCTGGCGCGGGGTCAGGGGGGCGGGTGGGTTGCGGTGTGTTGGCGGAGAGAGCGAGAGAGAAAGGTTGTGCGTATTCACATGCGTGCATGCGTGTGTGTGTGTGTGTGTGTGTGTGTGTGTGTGTGTGTGCGCGCGCGCGCATGCGCAGTGCACCTGCTGCACGCGGAAGGCGCCCTGCCGCATGACCCACTGCAGCTACTACTGCTGTCATGAACCCCACGCTGCCTGTGCTGTGCAGCGCGGCTAGCGCACAGCGGCCGCCGTGCCTGCTGGCCGGCTGGCTGCGAGCGTAGCGTCAGCAGGCCGAGCTCACTTGCAGTGGCGGAGGCTCTCGTAGCGCTCCTCCTCCGTCATCACGGTCTTCCCCTTGTACGAGTGCGTAAGCGCGTCGTTGCAGCAGCCCACGAGCAGGTACGAGTTTGGGAAGCTGCGCGGCGCGCCAGGGAAGGTTGAGGCAAAGGCGGGGGGAAGGGGTTGGGGGGCGTGACATCAAGGCGGGCAAGCGATGCGGCGGAATGAGGGGCAAGAGGTCGTGGCACGCGCGTGGGTGGCCTTGACGAGCAAGCGTTTGAGCACAATCGGCTGGGTTTGCTGCTTGTGTACAGAACGCTCTGGCCTTGAAGCGCAGCACTGCATGTGCGCGTCGCGCATCACACGGCATGATAAACGCCGCTCGGTTTCAACGCACAGCTTCTTGGCCTGCTCGAGCGCGCGAGCGTGCCCGAAGTGGAACATGTCGAAGATGCCATCAGCGTAGATGCGCACAGGCCGGTCCAGGGGAGGTTCAAGACTGTTGTCGCCTGCTGGGCTCGGGGTCGAGCCTCCGGCACCCTCAGCAGCCGCCCGCCGCTGTTCAATGGCCGCCTTCTTTGCCTTGCCAGCCCCGCCACTGCTCTTTGCCGATCGCTTCCCCATGGGAGACCCCGGGACAACGGCGTTGGGCCTTGAAGTGTCAGGCGCTGTGCGAGCGTTTCTATACTATTGTACACTGAATGCAGCACAACGAAAGTGTGGACAACGCGGTGACGACTGCTGAAGTCTATGCATCGGTTGCGCACCACATCGCGGCCCAGTCGCCGGCGGTGCTCGCTCACTTCTTGCAGGGCGACGGTTGGAGCGCGCGTCAGGGCAGGGCCCGCGCCACGTGCCCCACTGATGCAGCCTTGGACCTCATATTGCTGGCATTCATTCAATGGGCTGCAGCAGCCACACAGCAGTTCTCTTGTGGTCATCACGGCATGCTCGACAGGATGTGAACGGCCTGAGCACCTGGTCCGGGCTGCTCGCAAGGCAGTCCCACCCGCCTGTCTTGCCACCGCCGCCACAACATGATCCACACGACCAAGCGATCGAAGT